CAGACTGGTAGATCATAACTACAAAGGACATCATAAATCTTTACACTTTAGCCTTTGGAACATTAACATAAATAGTTTCCAAATGCTCCATGTCTGCATGGACTATGTCAGTGGAGTTGCCAGACAGAAATCTTCCTTTCTTGAAGGAAGGAAAATAAAAGTTTGAAAAATCCTACATGCACACAGCGTGGTTTTTGTTGTTTTTTTTTTTTTTCTCAAGAATCTCATGTGTGGGAAGTGTGTGAACACCTCCGAGGAGCACTTAATTTCTAAACAGAGGGTTAGCAGAATCTCATGCTCACAGGAGCACAGACTATGGGTGAAATCCTGGCCCCACTGAAATCAATGAGAAAGTTGCCATTGATTTCAACAGTGCCTGGATTTCATTCCATATCTCAGTATGCCATTACAGCTTTCAGTCTCTTAATGTAATTGGTCTCCTACATTTTATAGTGAGGATATTTCTCCCTTGCTTTTACCGTTGTTTTTCTTTTTAGTGTTTGTCAGTGTGGCAGTGTACATTTTAGTAACCACTTCTCTTCTAATGAGCTTATTCACGGGAAAAAGGAAAGGAAGCACATTGTAAAGTTAACATATTAAATTATTCTTTGATTATTGTCTTATAATCACTGACCTACTTGGCACAGCAGGACCTGGACATATTAACATTCTGGGCATGCTGAAGTGTCCATCTTTTTTTCCAGGCCTATGAAGAAACGGTTGCCTAAGAATTTCTGTATTCCTTTGGAGCTTTATTTATGATGTGGATCATTGTAGAAGTGAGATTTTATGATGGTATAGGCTTGTTTATTACTAGGATTTTGATGAGACTATAATTAACTGTTACAAATTAATAATAATACTGTTGTTATTTACATTATGGTAGCATAGGCGCCGACTCCATGTCCTGGAGCACCCACAGTAAAAAATTAGTGGACGCTTAGTACTCACCAGCAGCCCTCCCCTCCAGCACCTACCATCTGCCAGTGGCCCCGCTGATCAACTCCTCCCTCTTCCAGTGCCTTCCGCCCGCCACAATCAGCTATTCTGCGGCATGCAGGAGGCGCTGGCGGGGAGGAGGAGGAGTGGGGACGGGACATGGTCGGGGGAGGGGGCAGAACTGGGCAGGAAGGGGCGGGTCTGGGGATTGAGCATCCCTGGGGCCCAGAGGAAGCTGGCGCCTGTGTATGGTAGCACCTGGAGGCTTTGTTGTGTTAGGCACTGAAGAAACAGAATAAAAAGACAGTTCCTGACCCAAAGAGCTTATGCTCTATCCATGATACTAGACAAGAAGAGGGAGTTCTAGGTAAAGAGTGAAGCAATCTGATTGGTTTATTAAGGCCTGGTCTACACAAGGAAATTAGGTCGGAATAACTATGTCGCTCAGGGGTGTGAAAAAAATCCACACTCCTGAGTGATGCAGTTAAACTGACCTAACCCCTGGTGTAGACAGCGCTAGATCAATGGGACCTAGCTACTGCCTCTCGGGGAGGTGAACCAATGGGAGAACCCCTCCTGTTGGCATAGGTAGCATCTTCACTGAAGTGCTACAGCTGCACCACTGCAGTGTTTTAAGCATAGACAAGCCCTAAATAGCAGTATCATTCACCCACTGTCTAGGCCCCTCTCGCAGCTTAATGCCGGTGCACAGGACAGGTGCCTGTTGAGTTGTGAGCATCTTTTATAAATCTAAAACAAATAAAATGATTGATTTCACCATTCTCACTTCTCATTAGATAGGCCCTATTATGATGATATGTGATATGATATGGCAGAGGTCTAGCGAAGCATTAATGGTTGGAAAAAGTTAGAGAAGTGTTATTCCCACAATAAAAAAACCAGGGGTCATCTGATTAAATTAATAGACAGCAGGTTTAATACAAAAGAGAGAATGTACTTTTTTACACAATGCACAGTTAACTTGTGGAACTCCTTACTTTGGTATGTTGTGATAGCCAGAAGTATAAGTGGGTTCAAAAAAAGAACTAAATATGTTCATGGACGAGAGATTCATCAATTGCTATTAGCCAAGATGGTCAGGGATGCATGTCCAAACTTGGGACAGCCCTAAATCTCTGAATGCCAGAAGTGGGGAATGGAAGACAGGGATGGGTCACTCCAACTGCCCTGTTCTCTACACCCCCCCTGAAGCTCTGGTACCGGCCATTGTCGGAGACAGGATACTGACCTGGACGGACTATTGGTCTGACCCAGTATGGCAGTTCTTATGAGCTTACTTTTAATTTTTTCCCCCTGCAGAAGAGGCTGCAAGTGTGCCCATAGCACTATAGAATAGAGATGGGATCCAACCAAATCCTCAAATCTAAACATCCCTGAACTTTTAGGAAGTTTTGATCTCGATCCCAACTTCATGATTGAATCCTGTCTGAACCAAAACTTGAGTTCTGAACCTAGAGGCCCAAACTTTGGGAGATTTTGCAATTAGCCTTCTTCTCTTTAAACCAGAGGGCTATGAGCTTGAGAACCTCAGCTGAATACAGCTGCCCTGGAGTCACAGATAAGAAAGATGATCACTTCAGTTATTAGGACCCAAACCATTTAAGGCTTTATAGACCAAAAGCAGTTTAAATCTTCATCTGGAAACCAACTAGCAAACAGTTCAAGTATGGTGCACAGGTAAACAGTCCACATGGGAAACCATTTCATAGGCAGACATTTACCCACTCTGCAGTAATTTTTGAATGGTTTTAAGGTGTAGTTGCATACAGCTCACAATGCAGCAATTAATTTGCAAAGATGTTGATAATTGTAACAAAGTCCACCTAAAAGGAACTCTCAGCCTTCTAACCAAAGGCAAATAATAAAAACGGCTGCTACCTGCATATCCAGAATGAGTGGTGTGGTTCAATAAGACTCCCAGGTTGTGAACCTGAATAAAACAGTAAGTATTCCTCATGCAGGGAAGCTGACATAATCTCTGCTATGTCTTCGAGTTGCCTTTCCAGTCTATAAGCATTAATTCAATCTTATCTGAACTGAATCTCAGATAGCTAACTCTCCTTTATGTCCAAGCCTCTCATAGACACTGTATAAATCAATCAACTGCATCGGATAGGATCAGAGGAATAGATATGGGAATGGGTGTTATCTACAGATGCGCTCATACCTCCTTTCTAACGCATCTAATGGCCCATAAACAAGCTGAATAGAAATAGCCACTGAAGCCACCCCATGGCTCAGTGCAGGTTAGCAATTGCACAGCACTACTCACTGGGATCTCTCCAAAAGAAGGAATGGAAGCATTCAAGAGTGACCCCGCTAAGCCTATGCCATAGGTGTGTCAACAACTCAGTGGTACAAAATCCCACTGACAGAGCGAAAAGACTCAGCATAGACACCTGGTCTTCACCCATTTCTCCAGAAGTATGCATAAAGCAACACAATCAGTATAGTGTCTGTACAATAGCGAGGCCTCAATCAAATTCATTAGATGCCAAGAGGACCCGAGGACTCTGGATCTCATTTGAGTTCCCTTCCCTACAACCTTCTGAATAATCATTCTTTTATGAGGAAGATTGGAGTCTAGTTGAGAATTGGAGTGATTGTCAGGGTCAAAAGGTGGTTTTTTAACAAATTCCTAATAATCACTTCTTTAAAAGAAGACTGGCTGTCAATGCCTTCCTGTGGGATGGCAAGATTCATTCTCTAATAATGGCCCCAGCAGATCCTCGCTAGCTTTCAGCATCCAAAACAAGTATTGCAGATCTATTGACCAGGTTACTGATTTAGAATCCAATTCACACTCTGAAATTCGGTAGGTTCTTGTCCCAAGATCAGGCCCAGTATTATCAGAATTACTGCTTTGAGAGCCCCCTAGGGCATGCCAGTGACAACACCACTCACACTCCGGGAAGATCTTCTGTGATTATAAAATTGTTATTATTAAAATAATTAATCCAATAAGTAAACCCAGACGAGCAAAGTGATGTAACAGAACACTGTTAAGGTGGCAGCACCATTACAGACACATACTCACTCTATTCTTGGGGAGAGCTCTAGAAGTTGAGACAGATCCTAATCTGATTCTGGCTCACCGATGAAGAACTCCCAATTGCTGTACCTGAGACCAGATGTTTTATAGACCTTGATGGTCCTCATGCATATGTATGCATAGCTCTTCCCTTTTTTACCATACCTTAACTTCCTCGCCCTCATAATATTTGAGCATCCTTATCCTATAGGCTAGTATATTAATTAAGCAAAGGTTATTAACATACGTCAATTGAATTACTATGGTTACCTGTGGTTAGGCATCTGCAATCTTTCTTCAAAAAATACTACAGATCTCGCATTTGTGCTATCAATTCCTTAGTCCTTTATCTTATGATTACTACTATAATTACTGTACAGCTAGAGGAGCATAACTGAATTCCCAGGTTGCAGTTTGCACAGCATTCCCAGAACCTTTGGCAGTGGCACTGGCCACACCTCACACAGAAAGCACTTTGTCTCCCCATCATACTTGACTCAACTATCTCTACATGTGCAGAAAGCTCACTTCAAATCTGAGTGACATAATCCACAAAATAGCATGAAAACTCCTCATAGCAAGAAATGCTCAACTCACACACTGGATGAAACAGCTCAGATTAACCAGGCTGTTCCCCAAGCAAGACCATTCTGCTGAATTAAACTTCGTAAGCATTATTGCAGAACAAAACTTCCTGTGGGCAGATTATTTCATTACTGTCCATTATGAGGATGCTTGCACCTTCCTGTGAGGCATCTGGTACTAGCCACTGTCAAAAGACCACTGGTCTGACCCAGCACAGCCATCCTTATGTTCCCAATTTCCCCTCACATGAGGATTTAATTCATTAATTAATAAAAAGGTGTTGAAATTACTTGGCATTAAATTAAGTATAGCTGTGGTACCATGCAATAGGTCTGAAGGGGGTATATACCATCTTGTTTCTTTCATTGGCGTTCAAGATAATAAGTCATACGTCTGAACTTGCTTGTTTTCTTCTTCATGACAGGTCAGGATTCTAGACAACAAAATGACTGAACGCTTTGACTGTCACTACTGCAAGGAGTCCCTGTTTGGCAAGAAGTACATCCTGAGAGAGGAGAGCCCCTATTGTGTGAAGTGTTATGAGAGCCTGTACTCCAACACTTGTGAGGAATGCAAAAAGCCAATTGGCTGTGATTGCAAGGTACCTTGGACTTGTGTTTCATTGACATCACTTCTGTCAAAATAGATTGGCTAGGTCCATTCCCTGCATAAAGCATGCACCCTCCCCACAAGGGATCCCCACAACATTACAAAGGGATTTGGGTGGAAGATGTCTTCTCCATAACATCTTATTAACTAGGTAATTAAGAACCTGACCTTCCGAAGTGCTATGCACCTCCTTGGAAAGCCAGAGGAATTGAAGGTTTTCAACACCTGTCAGGAAGTGCTTCAGTCCAGATTTCCAAGAATATCCAGTAATTTTGGGTGCCTAACTTGATTATGGCCAGGCCCACTTTTCCAAGGTGCTGAGTAATCACAGCTCCCATTGACTGGTGTTGCGGATGCTCAGCACCTCTGAACATGAGGCTCTAGGGTTCTAATGCTGGGCACCCAAAGAGTGAAATACCCCAAATTATAGGGTCACTTTTGAAAACTTGGGGTTTAACCTCTCTGCCTCAGTTTCTCTATGGGTTAAAAGGGGCTATTAATAATTACCTGTTTCACACAGCTGGTGTTAGGATTATTTGAATGCAAGTGAAGTGCTTCAGGTGAAAACTGGAGAGTATTTTTTACCATCTAGGGGAAACTTAGAACACCAGCCTTGTGTTTAATAGGTTAAAAATGTTATTGAGTTTCTCTCCAAGTGATAAATGTTAATATTTTAGCTGTTCGTTTAACAATAAGAACACTACCCAAGTAACATGGGGAGGAAGGGGAGCTATGAAACAGACAATATGCATGTCTCATACACTCTTGCAGCAGAAAGTGTCCGTAGAACTAACTTAACTGGCTACCCAGGAATTCCCCCCATAGTAGGAGACTCACCACTGACAGATCTCTTTGCAGCTGAGCGTGATGTAGCAGCTGTTTCCTCTCTAGTCCCCTCTGGCAACGGTCCCTATGGTGCTGTGGCAGTCTGCCTCATCTCGTGACTCAGCCGTCTGGCCAGGTCTCATTTTAGTCCCATCCTCTTCTGGGGTAACAGAATGTCTAATAAGTAATTCCAAGACCAGGTCTCTGGCCCCTGACCCTGGGCCCAATGGTCCTTACATCCTTCAATCAGGGTTTTAAATCATCCTTATTCTCTTATGTCAGGGGAGCTTCATGCCACCTTCTCAAGGCTGGTAGAAGAACCCAAGCTCAGGAACTGTGCTGGCTTCTAGTCCTGGGACCCTAGGATCAGCAGTCAAGATCTGCTTTGCCAGATACCTGATCACAGCCTCCCTGGATTCCTTCCTACTATTTGCCTTTCCTCCGGCCTTTCTCCCAGCCTTTTCCCAGGCTCTTTGTAATGAGCAGCTCCTTCCCACAGGTCCAGTTCCTGCCCTTGTGTCGGGGTCAGCCACAGGACCTTACTCCAGTACTGTGTCTTCCAACCATCTTCCCTCCCTGGGCTTCCTGCAAGTTTCTCTACCCTATAGTTCTCAGAGAGTGATAAAGCTCTTACCTCTCTCCCTGCAGCTCCAGACTTCCTTGCTTTATAGCACCACCTAGCTTCTCCCCATTTGGGCGTTATGCAACCAAATGAGTTAATGGGCCTCTCAGACCCACACTAACCCTTTCACCACACGTGTGAGGTAAACACTCCCATTGCACCCCTGCATAAATGTATCCTCTCAGGAACACCAGCTCTACACCCCGCCCCCCAGGTTAGCAGATGTGGTCAGGGCAAAGGATTGGCTAGAGTGCTCCTCTGTTCCAGCTCTCTGGTGGCGGAAATGGCAGAAAATGACACCTTCAGGCCACAGGCAGCTGGACATGGGTTAAAGCAGCTTTAAGGCTGCTCTCCTCTAACTTACACTGGAGGCCAAATTTATCCCTGTCTGGCCCTAGAATCAGAGAGCTGCAAACATGGGATAAGTTCATATTTGCCCATTCCCCTCAGATTCTGCACTGAGCATGGCTCAGCTGAACCCAGGAGTGGTGGCCTGTATTTTCAAAACCACATTAAATAGGGTACAATCCTGCAGTCTATGTATAGGACCCCAGAAATAATCTCAAAACCTTCCTAGTCCAGTTTAGAATGTAATAGTTAAGCCACTTACCTCAGACATTCATCTATACATTTTCCATGTCCAAATTGCTCATGTAACAATCTAACCACTGCCAATAAGCAGTTTGCACAACTATGATTGTCATGGTGGAATTACAATGGAAAGTTGAGCTAGGGTGGTGGAAACGTAATTTGGGGGGACATGGAAGTGAACTGGGGGTCTAAGGGTTAGGCACCTATTAAGGGGTGTGGTCAGGTACAAATGCCAGTTCTTCTCTTCCCAATTCATTCACCCACTGTGACACTTTAGGGTTCAATGCAGACCAGTAAGGGGTTATGTCACCACCTGTCCTGCAACTCTGCGTGCTTTTAATGCCATGGTACTGTGGCCTTAACACCAACAGACAGCATGCAAGCATGAAGATCACACCATGGCTTCCAGCTCCTTTTTGCAGGGTGACTCCAATGCTCCCCACGTCATGCATTTCCCCAAAACTCTCTGCCCTGCTGTGTCCAGCCCTTTCCTGGAACACACACAGAAGTTAAGTCAGTGGTTCTCAAATTGGGGCCGCCGCTTGTTTAAGGAAAGCCCCTGGTGGGCTGGGCCGGTTTGTTTACCTGCCCCGTCCGCAGGTCCGGCCGATCGCAGCTGTCACTGGCCGCGGTTCGCCGCTGCAGGCCAATGGGGGCTGCTGAAAGCGGCGACCAGTAAGTCCCTCGACCTGCGCCGCTTCCAGCAGCTCCCATTGGCCTGGAGCAGCGAACCGCGGCCAGTGGGAGCCGTGATCGGCCGGACTGTGGACGGGGCAGGTAACAAACCGGCCAGCCTGCCAGGGGCTTTCCCTGCACAAGCGGCGGCCCCAGTTTGAGAACCA